TCCCAACGCTATTCGGTTTAGAGGTACATCCCCTATCTTCCCCTAAACCGCGGAGTACATCCCCTATCTCCTCCTCTACACATAACGTATACAAACACATTGAATGCAAAGCAACAACTACATTTCATGCAGTTAAGAATGCGGGGGATTATTCAATCCCCGCCACGTCTCACACGGAGAAGATACGATACCTGCGCGATTCGTCTGGTCGCACCAGCCTCAATTGAACCGTACATACAATATCGTGCCTGCAAAAGAGAGAATTTGCAACAAGCACAATATGCTAACAACATGTATTTAATGTGATTTCGAAAGTTTGACACACGCAGTGTCGGTGAGTGAATGCATCGCTATGCAAGAATGGAACATGCGTGACAACGCATGCTCAAACACAGAGGCATGATTAACATCAATAAATGTGCATGACAATGTGAGTATGCCCATGAGAATGCAAGATAATGTGCATGATAGTACAAAATGAGCATGAATCAGGGTGTCATTTGTCATGAACCAACGAGTACGGAAATGCGTGTTTCGGCGAAGGTAACTCGATCACGGCCTCCGATCCACTTCTCTGAAAGGTAACAACTCTTTCAAAAAGGATACACTTTGATTTTGATGAATGATGATGAGACATATGTCAGAACTTGAAGCTGAAGTCCCGACGGAGCAATTTCGCGACCGGAAGTGTACTTTTCTTGAACTTTTTCAGGTCCCGGGACCTCCGATCTTCCTCAAAATTTGCAGAGAGCTAGGTGAGCATGTGGGGATGATGGCCGGCCGTTTATCTTCCCAAGGGGGGGTGGCCAACCGGTTTCCATTAAAGTAGATGGCTGGCCGGCCATTTCTGCAAAAAGCAGATGGCTGGCCAGCTAGAAAAAGAGGCCGGCCGGCCATGCCCTTTTCCCGGGGGCATTTTGGTCTTTTTCTCTCCTTTTTGATGTTCTTGCAATCCAAGGCTTGAGGCCTATAAATGGCAGCCGAACCCCCTTCATTTTCTTGCCTCTTTCAACACTTTTCTCTCCAGTTTTGAGTTTTACGCGCGTATTCCAACGTCCCGCGCAAATTGTTTTCGCAAAAACACTCAGTTTTAAGCACTTTGGAGCGATTAAATTCCGACTTCGGAGCTTCTTTTTGCATTTTCACCACTTGAGGTAAGTTCATCTTAATATTTAGAATATTTTCTCGGGAGTTGACTTTTGTTGACTTTTTATTTCCCGAGAGTTGACTTTTGTTGACTTTTTCCAATTTTTGCTCATTTTGCTCATTTTTGCTCCCCTTTTGCAGATTCTTGAAAATGGCGGGCAATTCTCCTCACGGTGGAGTTTTTCCAGGTGCCGGAGACGATTCCGATCCCATGACGCTCCCCCCGAGGACCCGACCTTTCATTCCCGAGAGGTACCGTCCGGCAGCACACGTCCTCCCTCGTGCCGTCTTCCGTCACTTTACTAGTTTTGACGAGCGAGCACCCATGGATCTACTTCTCAGAGAGCCGGAGCAGCACCTCTCTCACGAGGCTCGAGAGGTATTTACCTCATCTTCTGTATTTTACATTTCGCACCTTTGCCATGCTTGAACATGCAGTTTAGCTTATGACATAGTACTTTGCTTACATCTTGAACACGTAGTTTCAACACTTGAATTTCTGAACACTCGGCTCATTAACT